CCCAGCTCTCTTACTTTGCGCGCACTATCCAATCCCTTTCTACGTTCGCTCATTCTCGCTTTCCGTCTTTTTCATTGTTGGGTCCGTGAGTTGCTGTCCTTCTGGAAAGCAATATCATCGTGAAACCCCCTTCTAATAGACTATGCTGTAAGCTATTCAGAGAGAGAAATAAAAGATGATCGCGCCTCCCCCCATGCCAGCCGGATGCCAGTCCAACCGGCACCACCCCCATCTTTTTAACTTTCTTGCGAAAGGAGTTGTGAATAGGGTCATAGGGTGAAATGTATTGGATGCACTCGACGCAAGGCTTATCAGTGCTGTGACTCTAATGTTTGTTGATTCTGGTTTGTTCTACAGAACCCGGTAGTAGTGAGGGTGCTGGCTCCAATTCCGCAGGAGGAGGTTTAGCAACAAATTCGCCCGTCAACAAACGCCGTGGTTTCAGTGGGTGAGTAAACTGGACAAAATTTATAAGTTACATGTGTAGCCCATCTATTTTGTGTCGGCAACTATTTTGAAAATATATCGACTTTACAGGAGGAAATGGTTGCCCCCGCCTCTGAGAAAACTGAGCGGAGGCAAAGTTGAAAAGAGTGACAAAGAGAAAATTACGTCGTCTTCTTCACCATCAACATCATCTGACAAACCTGCTCTCAAGAAGACAGGTTCAGAAAAGAGGTTTAAGGTTAGAAATCTCAAACACATTTTCTAATATTATATGTTTAAAGAGCTTAAGCAGTATATATTCTCATTTTTTAATTTTTTCTATAGGTTCCACCTGCTGATTTGTCACCACGTTCACCAGCACCTGCAGACCACAATGGAGATGAAGCAGAGGAAGAGGTGGAAGTGGAACTACCACCTCCCATGAAACCTATTTCAGAACCAATTCTTGTTGGGGGAACAAACTCTGCAGATGATAGTCAGGGGAAAAGGGTGAGTGTTACCATTGCAATGGCAGTTCCCAACAAAAAATATGCCCTCACTAGAGAGATTCTTTCTTGTCATTATTTTTGGGAAATCTCATCAATCTCACCTTTTGCATAACAATGTGTCAGTTTCCCCATTATTCTGAAAGTGAATATATTTTTTTCAGTCATCTAGCCTCTCTATAAAGGCATTGGAAGGAACATCAGCTGATCTAGCTGAAATAGAAAAGTTCGTCAAAGAAAGAATGGTGTGTTGGCTCTTAAGAGCCTTCATTTTGCCTGTAACTTGAGCTAATTTTCTGTAGACATTTCTCTTTTGTTTTTGCACACTTTTTTATCACATTTCTGTTAAATTTCTTACTATGCCTATCAAAAGGAATACTACCTTAGAAATTTCAAATGTAGTTTTGAATTTTAGCTACCTCGTTTGCATGATTATTAATTTATAAGTGCTTGTTGAATGTTCACTGCAAATCCGACAGAGTACTTGATACATGCAGTAAAGAGTGTACGTGGAAGCACACACAAGTATGTGTGTACTTGCTGTAGTACACAATTCTTTGCTCGTAAGTGCCATAGTACACACTTCCTTGCGTGCACTTAGTAAATTGTTGGATTTGTTGTGTAGTTTGAATCGAGTTACCTTAATTCTCGAAAACATTCTGTGCAAAATATTTTCATTCAAAGAGAGTTCTGAATGAGTATTAATTCATTTCTGAACAAAATTAAAATTAGTAGTGCCCCATTTCAGCCTGCCCCATAAAATCTATTTAATTTCCTGTAGTTAGGCCTACAAAATTACAGATTAAACATTACCTGAATTTTAAAAATACATACATGCATGTTCTTAGTTATGGGATTTATTTTGATTATTTATTTTTTGTATGCTCTTTCAATGTTGAGAGTTTGTAGTTTTCTCTTCTTCTGTATCTGTTTTTGTTTGTTTCCATTGCATGATGTCATTCTGTCGTAGACCCTGTAGGATATGTTCTTTCTCTAACTCTTGTTGCTCTGTAGGTTGATTGATTGATTGATTGATTAAAGCCATAAACAAAATGTTTTGATGTTTGTAGTTTTGTTTTGCAGCTAAGTATAATACCTTTTTAAATTCCCTGTTTACTTTTTTCCAGGAAGAACATACTGAAAGTAATAGTAATAGTAAACAAGAGAGTAATAGTTTATTGAACCGTGACTCAAAACTTTCGAATGACATGTCAGCTGCTGGGTCTGGTTGTGAAGGAGAAGGGGAATCTGATGTTGGAACAACCGAAGAACATGCAGATAGTGAAGGAACTGCAGGTGCAGAGAGTGGAAGTGGAGAGGAAGATGCTATGCATAAAAGAAAATATGTGATAAAAGAACTAATTGAAACAGAAAGGGACTATGTTAGAGATTTACAATTAGTGACAGAGGGCTACATGACCCTAATGCGTGACCCTGACTGTGAAATTCCCATGCCTGATGATCTTCAGGGTGGAAAAGACAAAATGGTGTTTGGGAACTTGGAGGCTATTTATGAATGGCATAGAGAGTATGTATTCAAACTTTAATTAGATTTGCTGAAGGTTGTAAAGTATTCACATTGTCTCTATTTTAAAGTAATCGTCACTCTTTCTCTTTTCAGTTTTTTCCTTAAGGCATTAGAGCGTTGTCAAGTTCATCCTGAAGAAATTGGACCTTTATTTAAGCGTTATGAACGCAAATTACATATGTATGTTGTTTATTGCCAAAACAAACCTGTGTCAGAGTATATTGTTTCAGAGCATGACACATTCTTTGAGGTAAATTGATTTGCTCACTCAATTATTTCAATATTCTGTGTTTTTTGGCCACTAATGAAAGAAACAAATTCATTCCAGGATCTGAGGCAAAAGTTAGGTCATAAATTAACCTTATGTGACCTTCTCATAAAGCCAGTTCAACGTATTATGAAGTACCAACTTCTTTTAAAAGATATCTATAAATACACTGAAAGAGCACAACTAACCAATGAATTAGAATCACTTCGTCAAGCATTGAGAGTGATGCACATTGTTCCGAAATCAGCCAATGACATGATGGACGTAGGCAGACTTCAAGGTTTTGATGTATGTACCTACTAGTTAAACATAAGTTACAAAAGTTGTGGCCTTTTTTTGATTATGCTTTGTTTGTTTTTTTAATTAAACATTTTTTAATATCTTCACAGGGTAAAATTACAGCACAAGGAAAATTATTGATGCATGGTCCTTTAACTTGCTATGAAGGTCTATCAGCCTTGATGAATGTGAAATCAAAAGAACTGCAGATCTTCTTATTTGAGCAAACAATGATTTTTAGTGAAGCTGTTGGTAAAAAAACACAATTTACTAATCCTGTCTACATACACAAAGCACATATACAGGTTTGTTTTAACAGTTTGCAGTTAGACACAGGTGTATTTGTGCATTTTTTCATAACTTTTCTTTTTAGGTGAACAAGATGGAAATGAAAGAAAATACTGATGATGGTGACCCCTGCAAGTTTTTAGTGAAATCTACCGACCCTAGGAAGCTAACCCTAGGATATGTATGCCAAGCTACATCCAAAGAAAGCCGGGATGAATGGGTTTCAACTATCAAAAACATTCTACAGACTCAGCGAGACTTCCTCAAAGCCATCCAGTCACCCATCGCGTACCAAAAAGAGCTCACCAAAGAGGTGTAAGTAACTGGTATATGTTATAAAATTGTGGCAATAAAATCAAAGATCAAAGATTTGTCGTATGAGGTGTATGTTTTTATAATCTACTTTTTACTAAAAAAAAAATTCGTGAAGCAATTGATGTTTTATATTTTATGAAATAGATTTATTGAAATTTGTAGAAAGCTACAAAATATTGTTGCATGTACAAAACGAGGTTGTAAGTACATCTAGTAGGAAGCGTGATAAAAGCATTGAGGGTTGTGTGAAAGAAATACAGTCAAATTTTAATTCAAGCACCACGGACAGTTGGGAGGAAGTTTGACAATGATCTCTCGATACTCAATGCAGTATTTGAGACATTCTGTGCATCTTTACTGATTTTAACAGAAATGTAATTATTACTCTTTGTTATGTAGTGGACTTCTGAAAGCAGTAGGTCTTCTATATTCTGAGTGGAGCCAAGTCTGTCATAAAGTGAGGTGATTTCTGGAGACTTAGCTATACTTATAACAATGCTACTTTTAAAACAAATTGTTTCCCTGATATCTGTTGACTGTTCCAATGTTTTATGCACTTGTTGGTACTCTATTCTGTGTACTCTACTTTACGAATTTTGATTTTCTGTGTCAGTTCAGGAGCTCTGCAATCTTCAACAGAAGAGTCCATTTTTTAAAACATCACCATTCTTTAAAATGAAAATTGCTCTGTGTTTTTGTTTCCCATAAATTTTTAAACACTCATGGATTTTGTTAAGTACTCTGCTTCATTCTGATATTTTACTCATCAATCAGATTGTCTTCTTATTTTATCACTTTGCGGGCAAAATTGTTAAGTACGTAATCTAATGAGAGAGGGTCCATCATGCGTCACATTTATGTAGATGTGATTGACTATTTATATATCTATCTATACGATATATACCTCACACACACTGTCTCATTTTTCATTTGTGGCAAAATGAGTGTAATGATTCACTAAGATTTTTATGCTGACTTCTGCATTGTGCAATCTATATGTCCACATAAAATTAACAGTAAATGCCAAACTTTGCTTATGCATCTGAGGTGATGCTGATCATAATGGATAATTTTGTTTGTTTATTAGAATTTTAGAAGGTGCATATATGATAATTAAGAGAATTGCTGACTTGCTAATATTGTGATGTCCATTGTTATGGCAATATTATGCTCACACATGTGTTGTCAGTTCCCTTAAGATCATGCACTAATCATGCACTCATGGAAAATTGAAATTTTTGGTGAAATGAATTTAATTGAAATTTTTGGTGAAATGAATTTAGGTACTGGATAATGTGAAATGTTGTCAGAATCATAATTGTTATGAGTGTGTTTATTTGAACCCCTGCACTGAATGCGTTACAACGCCTGTAGAAAATTGAAGGAGTAATCTTGTATAAACTTGATATTAGTAGGTAAAACCATATAATTAAGATGTCAGTCCATTCTTGGCTTTTGACTTCAAACATTTCCAAAATTGTTTTGTCTTCAGCAATTTCAAGAATGAATATTTTCTTAAGAAAGAGCATTAAAATAGGTTCAGTAGGAAGCACATAAGACAAAACATTCTTGGCAACTTCTACTGCTTTGCTGATGTCATATCAGGGTAAGGTCAAACAAGCTACAACCTGCCTTCACTTGGTTGGTAGGCAATGCTCCAGGGTGTATGCATGATCTATGTCTTCTTAGAATTATTTCACTGTTTTCTTTGGTCAACATACATACATGGCCACAGAAATAATTGTGTAATATCATTTTTATATCTAATGAATTGAATAAGTAGCAATCCCGATTATGTATGATCTGTTCTCATCACTGTGTTGTGTGTTGTTTGGGGTTTTACTTTGAAGTGGTCAGTTTGCTTTGTTTCTGTTAAATTTCTGTTTAAGTTTTCATTTGAGAATACTGAATGATGAATTCATTTCTTCTCTCTTTAGTTTTTGTTTTGTCTTATGTGCTTATCAAGGTACACTTTTCAGAGTATCCTCTCAAAAATCGCGTGACTTAATGATCCATAGACGATTGCAATAAATTTGATGCTTGTCCAAAGCGATGGCAAATGAATAGATAGGTTATTAATGTGAGCATTATTTTAATTTGTATCTTTACCAATCCTTTTTTTTTATAGGAAACAAATTTGAGCCAGCTTAACAAAAACAATTGTTTACATCTGTTTTTGCTCAATTGGTGTTTTAATTACTTCCATTAATAGCAACTTGCCTATCTACAACAAAACCAATTTCTTTCTGATATGTAATTCAATACCTGAATGATGTGTATCTATTTTGTTCACTCCTCTGGCTTTATCAAGTTAAGGCAATATGCTGATGTTCAACTTGAGTGCGCATCAACATCAACAAAAGATGATCTACGGAATTGTGATTAGTGCCTTTGAGCACAAATCACAGTTTTGTAGACCTCCTTTTGTTGATGCTGATGCTGTGCTGACATGCTGTTGTGCTGAACGTCAGCATATTGCCTTGGCTAAGCTTGACAAAGTCACAGCAAACCTCCATTACCTTGAAACCTACAAATTGACATATTGGAGATCATAAGAATCTTTGAATAGATGCTGCAAGGTTTCTGTCCTTAGATCATGAAAGTGACCCTCAAAAGTGTTAATTTTACTGCTTATATATTTTGTCTCACTCTGTAACCTCTTTGAACAATATTTATTACCACTACCCCAAATTCTCTTTCAAATTGGTCTTTCTCACTATCCCTGCACTTAAACTTCTTGGCTATATCACTGCTGTGATAATGTGGGTTAATTCTCTGTTATATTTCTTTCTTTGTTTTTTTCTTTTTTTTTTTTCCTTTTTTAAGATTCTATTTTTACCTGTGCATCTCAGTGTAATCATCACATGCAGCATGTAATTTTAAGGTGTACTGTTTCACAGCTGTGCTACAACAGATGTTATCTTGAAAACTCTCAACTGTAAGGAGCATAAAGCAGGCCAGCTGAATTTTTCACTAGTCTTTAAGATCTAGTCCATTTTGTCTTATAGCAAGGTTAGTTTTATTTATTTTTTATGGCTGTTACGGGTATTCATAGGGAGCAAGCAAATTGCTTTAGACACCCCAATATTTTTACTTAGTTGTAATGCATTTTTCCTATTATTTTTTTTAATCTATATTTTAAAAATCTTGCCCTTTAGTTTGACCCAGCAGCAGTTCTGCAATACAAATAAATGTGAATTTTATTCTTTCTTTCTAGTCATGGTAATATAATATTAAACAAGTGGAGGAATTGCTGTTATTTGCTCTCATTTCATTTTTGTAAACAGCAGTCCTTTGAATGCCTGATCCTGCACTCTTTACATAACACTTATGTTCAAATCTGATGCCTATTTTGCTTATTCCCAAGTGCTTCAGTTGTCATTAAATCATGATGATGATATTAACCATGACTAGGTTATGCTATTTGTGGTGCATTACCTTATGTGATAGGGAAACTGACTATTGTATTGTAATCTACAATATGGCCGGTGTAATATTGACTGTGCAAAATCCTTTAATGTACATAAGTATGTATGTTTGTACATAAATAAATCAAAATACAATTTTTTCATAAATGTGTTGTCACAATTTGTTATGATCTTCTCTTCAGACGTCAAAAACAATGTGTTTTCAAAAACACACATATCACTAAACTTAATTTTGCTTGATTATTGTTTTGTTTTGTTTTATTTTTCTCACTGAGGTACAAGGAGTGCTTGTGGAGCAGTTCTTGCTTTTTGTAGTTAGTGTGTCAGTTGTTTTAATTTTTATTGAAGTTTGTACTTTTATGCTTGGTATCTATTGGTTCTCTGCTTGATGCAAATCTGCCTTTTGATTCGCTTGTTTGTATGATGAAGCACAATGACTGTTCATGGGATTGTGTGTATAATTGATCTTCAATTCCTGACAGTGTGCCCTTGTCAAAGGTGGACTGGAATTGTAGTATTCTTACACACACAATCTGACATGACACTGCATGTTCCCTCACTGGAAGAAGTTTTGCCTGGTCACTTCACCTCACCTTTTGTGATTTGCCTAGTAATAATTGTTCAATTTGGAAGTGGATGCAGACAGATTAATTCTTGTATCTCTACATAATTATGCACTGGCCTTATTTTTTTATTATTATTGTTTAAGGAATATTTATTCTTGTGTTTGTGTGGTTTATTGATTCACTATTTGGTGTGCCGTTTTGTGCTAATAATATTGAATAGCAAATTAGAGTTTTAGGAAGAGCATGGATTATCTCAATTTTACAGAAATAGATCATTGAAAGATTGTCATCTATCTATTCAGTGTAGCTAGTTCATAAAGTTCGATTGAAGATTGAAATTTTATGCCTAACGTTTGCATGCTTCAGTCAGTTGATTATTTTTTTGTTTAAACAAGCACTAACACTGAGTATTTGGTTTAATTTTGGTTTTTTGTCTTTTTTTTGTTTTCTCAACGTTTTTCACCACAAATCCTCTAATGAAGGCCGGATTGGAGCTTCTTAACATCAAGACTCAGTCAGAGCATCAGTGACCCAGGAAATAGTGATCAGCTCTCTGATGATGAATGCCCTGTTATTGAGGAAATGCAGAATTTCTCTGTAGTTCAAGATCGAGGTCATGAATGCAGTAGGGATATCAGTTCTGACAAGACAAGGACACCAAGTCCCTCCAAGATGAAACTTCCTTTTTTTGAGGGATTTCGTAATACATTTCGAGCAAGAGCTAGGAGTGAGGATGTAGACTGCAGTAATGGAGACTTAGTGCAAACCCTCAATATCAGTCGCAGATGGTCAGAAACTCAGACTAATCATGTGGTAAGACAGGAATAATTTCTTCTGTTCTTTTGCTTGGTTGCTTGAATGCTAGAGACCTATTCAATTTTTAATGTAACCTCTAGTCTCTAGGAGCATGGTGCTATTGCATTGTTGATTTTCTGGATCATCACATCTCGCTCGATTGTTAAGTTTCTCTGCTTGCTATCTTCAGCATGTTAAAGAATTGCTTTGCACGTTTTTCAAAAATAACAGCAGTATGTTCTTAATATATCTGATGAATTTCAGCATGTGCATTGAGCTTGGATTTGGTTTTCTTTGGTGACTTGTACACTTCTCCATCAGAGTATCTACAGTAACTTTTGTTTACATGTGTTTATCATTGAGTTCTTTCTCACCCAAGGTGTAACTTGAACCTTGAGTGTACCAATTTTTCAAAATAATACACCAACATTCAATTTTGAGTTCTCCACTGAAGAAATATTCTTAAGTGAGATGGCAACATAAATAGCTTTAATGTGTCCTGTGCCTAGTGAAAACAAAGACCACTGACTTAGGTATAGCTGCAACACAGCCCAGTTAGGCATATATTACCTGCCTGGCTAAGATTGGCACTTGGATCGTTTGACTTAACAGACTTTGTCAAACCAATTCTATTCCAAAACCAACCATGATCACCACACTACCATTCATCCATCTAAAGAAATATATGGAGGCAAGAATGAAAGATGAAAAGTCAACATATGAGTCAGTCTAATTTAGGGATCTCTATGAGGTATGAAGCTTGAATATACCCAACAAAATTACTAATTTACTGTTGCAGTACATGAATGATAGTAGCTTGGGCAAATGTAGACTGAATTTGTGTGTGTGTGTTTGTTTAAATGGCATGCAGTAGAGTTATGTCATAAGCATGAATGAGTTACCGGTAAGTGCTAATTTTTATATCCTGAAATCCTTTACAAAATCATTCTAATTTACATCCTATATCACTTATTAAACTTAGTCTAACAATGGTATGTGTAGTATCCTCTGTTTCCCTTGGCTCCTTCCATTCAGTGTAATCCAAAGTTTTTAAATGGCTTGATACCCTTTTGTTTATTGAGATCTAATGAGTTCTGTTGTTTGGGCTTTAATCTAAGATCTTGATTATTCATCTTTTCTGTGCAATACCTGTACAATTATTATTTTGCTTTGCTTAAAATCAGAGTTTGAAGGCAATTCCACTAAAGTCACTTTTGCAGTTTAACACTCCCAGAGTCCCGGAGCAAATTTGAGGGGTGGCATTTTCCAGCAAAGCATGGCTACCATGTGCCCACATAAGACTCAATATGTTAACTATTTATTGATCATTTTTTTGACTTGACTGTTCTGTTGAGATTGTTATCATTAGTTGAAATAACAACTCGTTTTGAAGATAATTTCTTCTCCACATTTCCAGGATTCTGCTGGGTGTACAGCTGCTTGTGTAGTCTCTGACTGCCAAGCTGTAGAAGCAGGCCAACTTTCTTTACGGCGAGGTGAACGAGTTCGGATTCTAAAGCACTCAAAAGCAAATGGATTTTTTGTGCAAAAGTTGAGAAAATCCTCACATACAGCAAGAATACCCTCATCAGAAGAAGGCTGGGTCCCTGCTCATTGTATTGCTATTTCTACAATGGTATGTATTCTAGTATTCCTAGTAAATTATTTTACAATGACTGTTTCGGTTGGTTGTTCCTTTTTTTTTAAATTGTAAATTTAATTGCCTTTTCACATTGCTTTAAATTTTCTTACAATTTTACAGGCTAGCTCATCAAATGGCACTTCAAAAAAGCCATGGTCCTTCAAATTTAGAAAACCAAGCTTTAATTCTGGAACTGCTGGAATTCTAAGAAGAAAAGTTGATCGTTTATCTCTTGATAACTCTGAGGCCTCAGAATTTGATGATGCAATGGGTATCAATAGTGGGGACAGAGACAGCCCTTCTAGTCCTCAACCAGAACTAGAAATTTTGTGTAAGCTGGTTGACTTAACTGTGGTAGTGGGAGACTTTGCTGAACTGAAGTGCCAAATACGTTTGCCTAGTCATATAGGTAAGCCTTAGTGCATAGATGTATATTTGCATATTCTGTATGTTTGTATGCAGGAATCTGTTTTTCTGACTTCAATTTTTTAAAGAGGGTTTCTATTTATTTATTTTTTCCTTGCAGATTTAAGAAATGTGAACATTACCTGGAGGAGAAGTTGTGCAAAAGATAATGGATTCAGTAGTTGTTTAGTGAAAGGTGGACGGTATTCAATTAACTATAGTGATCGAGGAATTGCTAGTCTAACCATCGCTGATTGTCTTACCAGTGATTCTGGTTTATATTCTTGTACAGTCCATGCAAATAATCATCCCAACTCCTCAGTAACAACCTCGGCTCACCTTACTATAATTGGTAAGTTTCTGTGAATTTGAAGGAAACACTTTTGCTTCTCTTTTTTTCTCCTCATAAAGTAAAAACCTACTGTATTTTTTAATTGGTATATTTTCCAGCTCACAGCTTAGGGCGTCCAAGAGCTCAAGCCTTATCACCCTGTAGTGCATTAATTGTTTGGGATGGAGAACCTGCAGCTCGCTATACTCTTCATTACCAAATGCTTGATCCAGACTGTAAAACTCAACCTGATGTGTGGGTCAATACAACGGAAAACACACATTCTGTGCTTGGTCTGTCACATTGTGTTGATGGTCTTGTGCCAGGGGGCACATATGTATTTAGAGTATCAAATGGCTTACCTTCGTCTCCCCTTTCTCTACCTTTACCCCCTCGCGCAAATGATCATAGCACATCCAGGTAGATGTCATTAAATCATCAACTTTTTTTTATATATCTATCTACCTAATACTAGTTAGTACCTTGTTTTTAATCAACCCTATTCTTTTCTGCTCTAAGATGGCAACAGGAGCAATTTGGAAGACGATACTTGGAAAAAGAGGTTCTCGCACGAGGAAGATACTCTGTTGTTAAGAAAGCCCAAGACCGTGGAACTGGCCAACTGGTTGCAGCCAAGCAGGTTTTTCGCATGCGCCAGACGTCAGAAATCACACAATCAGAATACTCCATATTGCTAAGACTACAACACCAAAGCATTGTGAGAGCTTTTGCCCTTTTTGAATCTTCCCCTCTTCCAGAAGTGGATACCATTATAATGGAATTGTAAGTTTATGCAGTACCTTTTTCTTTTGAACAAAGGAAAACACAGGTTTTAGTTTTTGTCTTCTCTTTTAGGGTTACTGGTCCTATACTTCTTGTATATGTTTGTCAGCAAGAAAGCATTGTAGAGAAAACAGTGAGTATGTACATGCAACAGTTGTTCTCTGCCTTGGATTATCTTCATAACAAAAACATTGTACATTTTGATATCAGGGTTAGTATCCTTCATACCTTGTAAAGTTTACTCTAAAAATAAATTGCAGCACACTAAGCAGTCTATCCATCCTCTTTACAGCCAGAAAATATTTTGGTTGATTTAACTAGCTCAAATCCTCTCTTGAAATTGGTGGATCTTGGAGGTTGTGTCCATCGTCAACATTCTCATGAAATAGCTCCACCTGCAAGCTTAGAATTTGCTGCTCCAGAGTGTGTGCTGGGTCAACCTGCTGGTCCTCCCTGTGATCTTTGGGGAGCTGCTGTGTTTTTATATCTTTTTCTTAGGTAAGAATAATTTCTTAAACATTACACATTTGTCTAGTCTGGTACCATCTCCCTCTCACTCGCTTATTTTTTTTTTAAAGTGGACTTTCACCATTTCTTGATGAGAGTGTGGAGGAAACAACAGCAAACGTGTTGAAGTGTGACTACTCTTTCCCTGATGAGTTTTTCGGAATGATTTCATCTGATGCCAAGTTCTTAATCAGTAAAATTTTGCTAGGCCAGCCAAATTGTAGACTCTCAGCACATGATGCACATAACAGCTCTTGGTTTCAGAAGGTAGGTATTTAAAATTGGAGCTTTGCATTTATTTTGACTGAAATATTTATCAAAACGTAAAATTTATTGTTTTTATTACCTTTGTGTTTACAGGACACTAAATTAGACAGCATAATTCCCACATCTCGTCTATCACTATATGTGAATAGACGACAGCCAACATCTCAAATTGTGTAGACAAAAGCAAATGAAATTTGAAATTGACACAGGCCAAGTGCCAAATTTAAAGTACTAATAATTTTCTTCCATTGGCTGTGTATCGGCAAAGTTTTTTTTAAATTATTTAACAATACTTCACTGTAATTTTTTGTGATGTGACAAGCTATTGTTTGGCTTACAATTTATTTTTCTGTTCTGACCTGCTTTTTGTTGTTTAGTAATTTTGTATAATAATGAGTGTTTTTTTTTATTTATTACTATTTTTCCCCTTTTGTCTTATCTCATCTGTGATCAGTGTGTGATGTTAAATCATAGTTTAAGTAAATTTGTATTCTAGAAGTACCAATATGATATATATATTATGTACAGACCCTCTTCATTTTATACGTCGTTGAATGTGACTGCAATAGACTTGAGTAAACCTCTTGTGAAATGTTACCTCTCAATAAAAGAGATTTTATAACTGATAAAAACATTATTCCCATTTTTTCTGCAAGGCAGATTAGGTTTTAACAGCTCCTCATTAAGCCGACTCTGTTCTTGCACTTTGAACGGGTCAAAAGGCAGACAGACAAGTGCAGAACTCTGCAAAAAAACAACTAAAAAATGGGACATTAAATTTCAAAAATTGGCCTTGAACTGCCCATAACTCTTCGGTTACCAGTCCTCTGCAACGAGAGCCGGCTACTTGCCTCCTTAAATGTCAGACTGGCACTTTTTAAAAGACAGATTTCATACAAATATTTGAGACGGCTCCGATTATCCGAAGCTCGTTTGTCCGAACCTAATTTATCTATTTTAGTAAATAAAATGAGTAAAGTAGTTAATTACATTATGTTATTTCATTTAGTGGCAGTTGTTGAAATAAGAGCTAAATCAGGTACAGATACCATCAGGAGGGCAAACGAAGTGCCTAACTGCAGTTCCGGGCCTGGAAAAGGGTAAATGAAATAACTTGCGCTATTTCACTAACATAAGTAAATAATCTTATTTTTGAACAAGTCTTGGTTCGCGCCACGCCGTGGATCGGCTGTAGTGTGCCACGGCTCTCGGATCTGCGATGGGTGGGTCACTTATCTAAGTGCCGGGCGCGATATGGGAGAGGGGGGTGGGGGGCGAAATAGCCAAGTTCAGCGGTGTCATAGCGCCTTATAGGTAGGCAACATCTTGCTTGTAGAGCTTGCGTGTATTGCGGGATGGCCTACCCGGAGTCTCGCAGGCGCCGAGCCTCCCTAATTTC